GCTTGGAGATTTACCTCCCTGTTTCCATTGCTACACATGGAATGTGTACATTCCAGCAGTTTTCTATATAAAACAGTAGCCAGACCCTCTAGTAGAAGCTTCCCCTACGTCCAGCCATGGAGGGGTCAGCTATTATTATCTTGTGAAGCAGCAGCTGGTGTTAAAAGTCTGAGTCTATGGGGGGGCTGGGGGAGAGGGGGGAAGAGTCCTGCAATGTGCACAGATTCTTGGTATGTGCTGCAAAGGCTAGAGTCACAAGCTGGCCTGCGGCTTATGTAACAAACACTCATTCTAATAGCTTTACAAAGATCAGTCCTTTCCATCCACCCCATGGTCCTGAGAAGTTGGTGTCCTCAGCATCTCCGTTTTGCAGACAGGAAAGCGGAAGCCCAGAGACGTTCAGTGAGTCCCCTAAGGTGACTCAGCTGGTCTCACTACAGTGCTTCTGCCACGTTGGAAATGTATGGCTTACGTGACACCAAATGGGCATTTAACCATTTGTGAATGCTTCAGAAATGCCATGTGAACAGCAGGGTCCTGTAAGTTAAAGGAAAGGGGCAGGCGGCGTCCAAATGCCAGGAATGTGAGAGCTTTCTGTACTGTCTTAGAGGGCTTTCTCTTAACATCTTCCCTCGCTGAAACAAAAGTGAGGAAGAATGAGCCAATGATCTACGCTGCTCTAAACAAGCCACTGCTCTGATAAGTGTTTGGTGCCGCCTGATGATGAATAAATAGTCTGAGCAACCCTGTGCCAAGGCACTGAGTGCTGAGATGTGAATAAAGAGGGCCAGCTGGCGGGAGAGGTACCAGCAAGCAGGCCGGGCCAGCGCTTCCTGGTGGAGCACAGGCCCCTCTGCCTACTGGTCATTGTCTCCTCCTGGGCTACTTTGCACCTACAGAAAGGTTTTCTCCTAAGAAGAGGTATGCTTGGCTGGGAGCCGAAGTGCTTCTCTGGATGCCTCGTGTGACGCAGGGTCATGAGATGGTGTTTCTAATCCCAGACCCACTCCTGACTCAGTGGGTGACATAAGGTAACTCAGCAGTTCCTCTTTGTCTAAGTGAAATGCGCACCATTTGCACAGCATCTTCAGGCTTCCAATTCCTGCCAGTGAACTTTACCAAGAATCTCTGTTGGAAGAGTTTTTTTATGGCGCTTTCTTGAGCGCACTGCCTTGACTGGGCTGCAGCAGGCTGGCACAGACTGCAGCATGATGTACAGAGAGCTTGGATCTGAGCTCAGAGAAATTTGACTAAGCACCTCTCTCGACTGAGGGCCAAATTCTGTTCTGCTTATGCCAGCAAATCTCCCAGGGAAATTGCTAAGAGGTCATCTTATGTATACTCATTGTGGCAGAGGGTAGCAGGCATGGCGTTTGGAAGCAAAAACTCAGGAGCTAGTGAACATGACTTTAAGCAGGTTTTACAAAACGGTGGGGGGAACAGGGTTTGCCCTGAAGGGGACACAGAGCTGGGCAGGGGACTGCTAGAACCTCTGGCATTGGGAGGGACAAAGCCATGGCCTCTCTCTGGTGAGAGAAGGGGAAGAAGGGAGTTACAGGTTATCTTCTGGCTGTCATCCTTACTAAGTGGCTTCCTGTTTTTCTCCCTACTGTGTCATTCCATGCTGCTGGCTTGAACGAAAAAGGTCAGGAAGGTCAGAAAAAAATCTTTCTGGGGTCTCTTTCTCCTGGTGCCAAATTGTCAGAAACACTCTGTTAGGGTCAAGCCTTAACTGCTTAACCTCATCCTTAATTCTCTCTCCCTCCCCCACTTCCCCTGCACTCCCCATTTCTTGCTCCTTGATTCTTTTTTGTATTTAGAAGGACACATCCTCACTCTCTCACTCTGCAAGGTATTTTTAACATTTTCCTCTGGCCATTTGCATTCAGAGTAAGTGGGCTCCTCCTCCCCCACTGCCTTGTTTCACTTTCTTGTGAAAGGAACAATTAATCTAATTGAAGTCCTGGAAGTTCTGTCTTGCTCCTCCTCTTTCCCTCTCTCATTTTCCTTCCAAGGGAGCTCCTGAGTTTGGAAACACTTAATATCAAAGGAAATGAGTCTCCTTTCTCCTTTTCATTCTGTGTGCATGTTTTGAATTGGATGTGGTCCTCAAGGTCCATAGGGTGCATATTCACCAAGAGAAAATTGCCTAAACTGCCCTTGGAATGAGAGAACCCAGCAGCAACGAACAAATGAACATCCTGGCAAAAAGGGAACTGAGTAAGAAAGGCAGAGGGAAAGTCAGCCGTGCTGTGGAGAAAGGGCAGAGGTCAGCATGCTGGGTTGGGCTCTTCCTTCAGCTGTCTGGGTACAGGATGAACTGTGACTGTCACTCATAACCTGGGAACAGGCCTTCTATAGGGGGATTATCCTGACAGGTGGCCCCTAAACCCTTGTTAGTGCATACCTGGCCATCAGCATCCCAAAGATCAAGGCCATTGCTGAGTAAATCCTGACAGACCTTGTCCCTCTCGTGTCTTTTATTAATTGTGTTCCGTTTAAACTTACTGTATGCTTGGAAACTTTCACTCACAAGCTTTGGCTTTGCCTGAGTCAGTGTGTTCCAAGGCCACCATCTGTGGTAAGCAACCCACTTCTCCCTCAGGCTAGTGCAGAAACCCAAATCCGCAGCACCCACAGGTTTGGGGGGACCTATTCATGAACTGTGGGCAGACCCCGCAGGTCCCCAACTTACTGTTTGGTTGGTGTGGCCAGGAACAGAAGGCCAGGACTGTGGCCAGCAGGGAGAAGCTAGTGGTTCCCTGGGGCAAGGAAGAGGCAACCGCTGCCTTTCTTTTGAGTCATCAGCCTGCAGTCTGAATGTTAGGGTTTTAGAAACATAACCACACCAAGCTGAGTATCTTTTCCCCTTTCTGAAATTTAAAATAGATGTATTTTTGAAAACAGTTCCCTGTGTATGATGTGTAGATTTTTCAGGCATCCCTCCTGGCCCGGAGGCACAACCAAATAAAACCAAAATCAAGAGCCTGCATCCTTTCAAAAAATGGTATTTTCTAGATGGGTATCTTTAAAAACCAGCTTCACAAAGTGCAGAAGCCATTTGGAAGATTTGACATTTTGTCAGGGGAAGAAGCCTGCACAGGAGTCTATATACTAATAGGTGTGTGTGTGTGTGTTCAATGTAACATCACCTCTGCCATGCAGGCTGAGGAATGGCCCTTCCCGTGAGTGACATTTCCAGACACACCTTTAAGATTCCAAAAGTCCTTTTGAAAAATGATTTCCGATAAAGAATGTGCCACATCACGTGCCGCACTTCCCTGTCCTCACAAACAAAAGTGTTATGAAGGAGTCAGCTTTTCCTTAATGATTCAAGCTTCTCTTTCTGGACTTCACTCTGTGACAGAGGCAGGGAATGGCAAATCTAAATCAGAGAGCTATAATTTGAATGTTTGTTGTCCTTTTAAACTCCCCAGGCCTCAGTTGCCTCATCTGCAAAACTGTGACCACCACCTGCTGAGACTGCTGGTCTCCTTAAAGAGATGCAGAATACATTAGCAACCTGGTTAGGGTCTTGGACTTTGTCAGCATTTGGGGCTTTTCTCTATCTGCAGCTTCCTCTTTTGACCTCCCTTTACTGTGAGGGTGGATTTTACTTCCAGAGGTCTTTCCGCCTGTTGGGAAGTTTTGGTTCTGGGAGTCTAAGCTTTGCCTCAGGCCAGTTCATCGGACTTGCTTCAGTCAGCCAAGCTCACAGCAGAGTGAGGACTGGGGCGCTCCCTCCCCAGGGACAGACTGTAAGAGATTCAGTATGTGGAGTCCTTGGCATTAGTGAGGTTTTTCTGAACCTCTTCCTCCTGCCCTCTACCCTCCTTTTCTGGATATTCCTAGGCTTGGGGATATTTGGCCTCCAGCTAAGTGTCCTGGATAAACTAAGTACTCTTGTATTTATTTGTAACCAAAGGAGCTGGTCTAAATAGATATGTCTATTTTTCCCAAAGCGAGGGTTAATATCTTGGAAAGGTAGTGATTTCCCAGGTTGATAAATTGACTACAGCAAACAGAAGGAACAGACTAGACCTCAATGATCCAGCCAACAAGGATTCCCTGAGTTCAGTAAATACCCTCGATTCTAGTCAAACAAGCAAATACAGCCTCCCATCTGCACAAACCCTGGTGAATGCCCAAAGCTCAGACTCTCCTCTGTCTGCCCTCCTCCGTGACTGGTCTCTCTTCCCCTCTGTTTCCTTGATTCCTCCTCTTCTGAACTCCCCTACTCTGAACTCTCAGCCCATCACTTAGCACCTGGATTTGCATGCCTTCCGCTCATGTGGGCATCTTGTGCTCTGAACACATGACTTCTCAGACCACACGTGGTGCTAAACAGGATGCTAAACAGCTAAGTGCAGATGATGTTTCTGTGCTACTTTTACATTTGAGATGCCAGGACCTTGGCCAGTAAGCTTGAGCTTGCGTTGAAAGTCAGACAGCTGTCTTCCCTCCTCATCCATCTTGTGATGTGACCAATGACCACAGGAGGACAGGACACAGACTTATGGAAGTCACTGAGTTCTCTGTGACTTGGTCTTTCGCCAAAAACAAAGCACTAGAACGTTCATTAATTCCTTTAGAAAGTTACTACTAAA